ATAACAATTTCAATAACAACATCACACATTTCAATCAACGAACAGTTTAAATAAAATAAAACAAATTCCCTTATAGAATTAAACAAACTGTAAACAGAACAAGGTAACTTAAAATTATTAATGCGAAAACAAATTTTAGGCTGGCTAGCGTAATTAGCGCAGCTCACATTTCAATAAACAGAAAAAGTCGAACTTTCAAATAAATCACAATCAGGTCTATCAGGACAGGTTGTTGCAGTCTACCTACACTCTCTTCATGTTGTGTGCGAGGAAGATGAGTTTGTCGACATTTTCAGGTAAAAGGGAACTTCGAGTCTTATTAACGACGTAGCCAGCTTTTGAGAAAATCCGCTCTGATGGAGTTGAAGTGGCCGGAACGCAAAGGAGGTGTTTGGCTGCAAATGCCAGTTTAGGGTAGCGGTCACTGTTTTGTTTCCACCATGCAAGTGGGCCCGACTGTACTTTAGTGGTGTCTTTCAAATATTGCTCCATCTCTTTCTTTGCGCTGTCTCCGTGTTCTTCTTCCTCTTCGTCATCATCGGACTGCATCAGCATTGAAATCTCCAATCTTTTTTTTTTTGTTGGTGGCACGGCGGCGGCAGTCTCCTCTTCTCCATGGCTTCCTGACAGCTCTTCCATCTCCGGAACGGTCTGTTGCTGGTGCAGATGTTCAGCCAGGCGGACAACCTTAAAATCCAATAGCATTTTCTTAGTCAGATCTATTCGTTCGTTGTTGTGCACAAGATAAAGTAGCCTAGTGTGGCATAATAATCATATTAAATTACAATATATAAATATAAAATATTAATATCAGTCTAACCTCAATGTAGACCAGGTCCTTCTTCTCGTTCTCAAGAAATTTGAGGTGCTTAAATCGCTGGTCTAGTGCTGAAGAAAGGAGGTAGATGCTGCCGGGTTCCAAACTTAACAGTTGCCATCTGCTGTCGATCTCCGTGACGAGGGTCTTCTTCATTTCTCTGATGGCAGGGCTGTCATCCCCCTCCGGTGACAGGTGGCGTTTCTTCAGGTTGAAGAGCATAGGCACTGTTGCAGACAACGATAAGTTTGCCTCCTGTGAAAGTAGTTCTGTGAGTGTGATTAGGGGCCCCAGTACTTCTGCTGTCTCCTGTGCCAGTTTCCACTGGTCTGCTGTCAAGTCAAGGGTGCGATCTCCTTTCTTTGTGATGCTGGGATCTGACAAAACAGCTGTCACTGGCCATCGTTGCTCCACCAGTCGGTTAAGCATTTCACACGTAGAGTTCCAACGAGTAGCGACATCTTGAATTAGTTTGTGATCTACAACGTTCTGCTGCGTTTGTTTCTCTTTCAAAGCAGCTGTAGCCTTTGCACTTTTTTTGAAGTGTCCCACGAGATTCCTGGCAGCCGCAACTGTGCGACGTATTCGGTCCTGTTTTAGAGCTGTATTTATGCACAGCTGTAGCGTGTGTCCTGAGCAGCACACCCCTTGAACGTTGCCCCATTTCTCCGGTTGTTTCTTCAGCATCTCGGTGCACAGCTTCATATTGCTGGCATTGTCGTGAACAACGGCTACTCGCTTATAATTTGGAATGGCGAAGGCGTCCGCCGCGTCTCCAAGCTGTTGCGCAATGTTGATTCCCGTATGGCTCAGCTGAAATGCTTTGGTTTCCAAAACGAAGTCAGAGAGTTCCCACTCCTGAGTAATAAAATGACAGGTGACAGCCATGTACGCCTCCATACTCACCGAGGTCCAAATGTCCGTTGTGAAACTCAAGGCTGTTGAGTTTGCAACGATAGCAGAAATTTGGCCTCGCAGATCGCTGTACTTTAGAGACAGGGCGTTTGAAATACTGGAGCGGTTTGGGACAGTGTAGTCGGGCTCCATCTTCTTAATTAATTTTCTGAAGCCTTCGCCTTCAACTACATTAATGGGTCTCATATCCATAGCGATGAACTCAACTATGGCATCTGTTATTTCTCTCTTTCTTTTCTCCGTTATTGGTTTTCGGAATTGTAGGAGCTGCTGTGAAGTTTTTGGTGTGGTTGAGGATGTTGATGGCTGCGAACGCCATACCTGGGGATGTACCTATAGACAAAGTAGGCTATTATTAGGCTGGGCTATTCGCAAGTAACGTTATTTTCCAAGAAAATTAAGTGCACGTCTTTACCACGTGTAAAATTACTGATGGCGCTCGGTACTTACAGAACTCAGGTGATTTCTCAAGCTTGATGTGCTGTTGTGGTAGGCCAGTTTCAAATCGCATATTTGACACACTGCCTTTGTCTTGTCTTCCTCACTTAATTTAAAGTTCTCCCACACAGATGAAGTCCTCGGCATTGTTGTCTTTTCGCTCAACTCACGGTCATGACGTTCAACTCATGGGCGGTTTAACTGGGGCACGTGACGTGACGACCCAGTAAAATCTCAAAGTCTCCTATATTTCACAGATTAATTTAGATTGATAATAACGGATAAAAAGGATAATATATTTTGTTTCTATTATTCTATTTTCCACAATGTCAAAGCAACGCAGCTTAACCCAAAATACAAGCTCAGCATGCACTTCTGTCCATACAAACTCCGCTGTTCTGCGCTCTAGCCAAAGAACACTCCCCGTTGCAGTAACACTTTTAGTAGTCCAAGAAGAAGCAAATATATTTATTAAGTAGATATAACGAAGTTATATGTTAAGTATTATATTTCACCAGATTTTATAGTGTAAAACATATTCAAGCGCGAATGAGAGCCGTTTGGAGGGGGATGGCAGGTGTGAAAAAAAAAAAAAAAAAAAAAAAAAAAAAATTCGACTGTCACATTTTCAAATCGAATACCAACCCACCGAACGAATATTCGGGTCCAGTCCTACTGATAACACCCAAAAACGACCTGCTTCCAGCACAACACAGACTCCAATACAAACTCCACAGAAATATAAAAAACAAAACAAAAATGTATCTGCTGAAGCTCGTCAGGCCAAACGTGAATCGGATCGACTTAGGACGAAAACACGGACCAACATCGGCAGAGCGTTTGAATTATGGAGAGACCTCCGCTATTTTTATTGTGATAAATTACAAGTTTTCAGATATGCTGAAATAATGGTAAACTAATGAAATAGCAAGGTAAACTACAACATATATGAGTAGGGATGTAACGATTCACTCATCTCACGATGCGATATGATTCACGATACTGGATTCACGATACGATTTTCTCACGATTTTTTTAACAAATGAGATTTAAGACAAAAGTGTCCCTTTTATTATTTCTCAGACAAAATGCTGCACATTTCTTTTTAATTTAAAATATATTTGTCAAATAATGAAACTACATTAAAAAAATTCCCTTCAAGGTTGTTTCAACTCAGTCTTTCTGTCTGTTTGGTCAAGAGGCTGGACACTGGTACCTTCGCACACTATGTAAAAGACTGTGTAAAATTAGTACCAGATTGACCGGGGTTTTACATTGTAACAAAGGCAAGATTCTAATTTTGTTATAATTTGTATCATTACACTGTAAGAGTTAAAAAAAAACTCATTTAGAGAAAGAGATAGTAAAATAAATACAACACCTGGTTGCCACGGAAACACTGATGCACCTTGTGATCTCCGTGGCTCTCTCGCAATTGTCGTATTAATGACTTTTACATGAAAACGGAGGTGACTGTTGTTTCTCACGGTGGTGATTATTATTAGTCTACGGAAAGTCAAAATGGCGCCACACCTCCGATTTGAATGAGTCAACGTCAACATCTACGCTTGCCGTCACCATGTCTACTGTTTGACGGCGCGTGCACACACTGGTGCGGCGCGAGCGGAGCAAACCGAGCGTTTTCACTTCATTCCTATGGAAGTTGAGCTTGGCTCACACAATCAAGTTCCATGAATGAAGTGAAAACACTCACTAGCTTCACGCCAGTGTGTGCTCGCTGCTATTGTGCCTGTAAAGCGAGGTTCACAACTTCACAGTAGGCTATACAGTAAACGTGTATCGCGATTCGTTTAACATTTCAACCGACTTGAATCGTCACACATTTTTATCGATTTTCAACCGGTTGCGAGTGAATCGTTACATCCCTATATATGAGACATGAAATGAACACAAAAGACTGTTCCAGGATAACAAAAAGTATGTGCTTTAGGATGTAACTTTTATTTTTATGTACTAGATCTACTGTCTAACGTCACTCATCCCACTACTATCATATTGTTTATAATACACATTTCCAGACACGTTCAGTACAGTAATGTTACTTCCTACGATCTTACGGTTACACTGAAATTGTTCAGTCTAGTTCACTAACCGTTTTCGTTATCATATTATACATTCATCTATGTTGACATTGCTGCCTGATTGTGAAAGATACACGAATAGTTAGTGAAATGCCTTATACTAGATAACACCACAAATGTAACGTTATCATGGTACGAGCATGGAGCATTAGTTCAACGTCAAGCTGATAAAAGTAGCCTATTATTGTAACGTTGCAGTGGGAGTTTACATGAGTTTCCAGCATGTTGTGTGATGCTTTCTCCGGTGTGTTGAAAGTCTCAGTGTGGCCGTGTACCGAGTGCTCGCTATTGTGTTCGAGCACGCGCAAGAGCACGAGCGCTCTTGTAAAAATTGGTTGCAATCTGAAACATCAATCTGATCAAGTGTTTACATGCCCTCTCGATCGGATTAGAAAAGGAATAAACCACCCCTTTCAATCTGATCCAAATTTCATTCGGATCGAAGGCTTGAAGGGTGAAGGCTTTTCAGTCCGATTGAGTCATCAATCCGATTACTAACGGATTATGTGGTTGCATGTAAACGTAGCCATTGTTGAACACTGTTGATATTTGTAATCAATATTCTATATTTGTAAAACAAATTCCCATGACGTTTCCAAAACATTCTGGGTTTATTTATTTTTCCAAATCTTTTACAGGCCTGGAAATTGTTATTTTAAAATTCCATGACTTTTCCAGGTCTCAAAATAAGCCATTTTGTCCCCGACAAATGCTGTGAAATAACATACTTGTCGGGTAATCTGCTTCATTGTAACTTCCTCCAAGTTTGCATCTTTCAGGAGATCCTGGATCGCCTCCTTCAACTGGTCATCAGTTGGTGGTTTTTTAAGCATCTTGATCAATGGCACATCATCATCAGAGCTTTCACTTTCATCTGGAAGGAAAAATACAGCAGGTCAAACTCAGCACTTTGCAAAACCAACGTGTCTAGTTGCAGTTTTGATATGATGCTAAAGGATTGCATGTCATTTTAATTCTAGACAAAAAGAAAAAAAAAATAGATTTAAACTTTTGGTATTGCATCTGGAAGAATTTGCTGCATTATTACCCTTGATCTTGCTTGCCATCTTTTTTCTTCGGTTGCTGCTGCTGTCAGCTTTCTTGGTTTTAGGGACAGGCTTTGCTGGAGCTTTTCTCTTTGCCGCAGGCTTCTTGATTGTCTAGAAAAAAGTTGTCAATTATGATGTCAGTTTTAATGCAATTATCAAATAGGTATATAACTGCAAGAAAGAAAATCAGTTGGAATAACTTAAAGTCCCTGTAAAGGCAATTTCAAAAAAAAAATCTAAACACATTATAAATGTTAGAAATGTATTGCTAAAACATATTACAAAGACTGTGAACTGTGAATTACTGAATTGTGGAGTTAGACCGTTAAACAGTTTTTCACCATTGCTATTTTCCGGATTTTCTGGGCGGGGCTAAAACAGGGCTCGATGACGCACTGGAGCCCCTGAGCTCCTGGACACGCCCCTACTTGATGACGCACTGAGGCCACTGAGGCTGGCCGCTCCCCTAACAATATAGAGCACATTCACTTCAGTTTGGCGCTCAATCGCGAGTTACTGTCAGTACTATTATTAGTAACACAGCATACAGATTGCTAGCTAGCTATGCCATCGTCACGGAAATGCGTACTACCTGAATGCGATCACCGGATCACGTACAAAACAGATCGGTGTCCTTTTTTAAATTTCCGAAAAACGATTACATCAAGAAGTGGATTCATTTTGTGAAGAGCCAACCTTGATGGAGAGCTGAGGAAGGATCACCGCCAACACCCGCCTCTGTAAGTGATCATTTTACACTGGATAGTTTTATAAACTTTCGTCAGAGACAACTGGGATTCACTGATAATCCGCTGTTACTGGTGAATGGGGCCGAACCGACTCCCGTCTCGGCCATCATCCTCCCGTCGCGCCGACAACTGGTGCCATCATCGGCAGTGCGTGCCCACCGTGCGAGCATCCATTCCGGCTGTAGAGTTCAGTCTATGATTCAGTGTGGCGAGTCGGCAGCTTTCCCGTGAGTGGGCGTGGTTTCAGCGCAGCCAGCGGACTGATTTTGAGAGCGTTTGAGAGCAGAGAATACTGCTCATTTTTTCAAGATTTTGATAGCTTATTTTATGTACTTGCTGGCGTTTTTTATCATTCAAATTTGGCTGGGTGACTAATAACACATTTTTCTGTGGTGTGACAAACTCAAAACACATACTTATTTTTGACTTTACAGGGACTTTAACACATTTCTGGAGCATCAGCAGATCTGTAAATCTAAAGTGCTACAAATGTACTATATGTCAAATGTGTTATAGTGTCAAATACAATTTTGCCATTTCTGACAGAGGCGGTTCAAAACTCTTCAGAAAGGTATAGCAGGTTTCATAATCATCAAATTAAGCTTCAAATGAACTAACTGTTAATCAGCATTTCTGCTGAAACAGGCCTGATTTAAACAGCATACTAAAACTACGAGCTCGAATTTATTTTAATTGTTACAAAATTTCAGAATTAAAAATTATTAGCAATAAAGGCCCGTTCACACCAAGCACGATAACTATAAAGATAACGATAAAGATATAATTCTAAAAATCGTTCTCCATATAAAAGAATAACAGAGTTCACACCACAACTATAACGATAAAGATATGAGGAACGATATCGTTGGGATCACTTTCAGAACGATTTTTTTCAGCTGTCGAACGATAAAACACTGACAGCCAATCAGAATCCATTCTAATTTAAAGGTCTACTTTGAAACCGCAGCGCGGGCGCGCCCGTGCCTAGAATAAAAAGACAGTTATCAGTCGTTGGTGTGGACGCATATATAGTTATCTTTATCGTTATCTTTATAGTTATCGTGCTTGGTGTGAACGGGCCTTAAGTGTTTGTGTCCAAACCTTTTTTACAGTCTTGTCTTCATGAACGTCTTGGTCACTGTCATCTGATGAAGTCTGATCTGACTTTTGGTCAGATTTCTTCGTGGACTTCATGGTGGAAGATTTCTTCTTCTGGGGAGATTTCTGTTGATTTGTCGACAAAACACAAGCAATGTAAACACAGTAAGACTGCCTATAGATGGGCTGTTCGAAATGTTCTGAAAGTGTCAAATGTAAATTTGCTATTTCTTTCAGAGGGGGTTCAAAACTCTTTGGAAAGATATAGTTTGATTTTTTATCAAATTAAGCTTCAAATGACCTAATTGTTATTCAGCATTTTTGCTGACATATGCCTGACTTACAGCATACCAAAACTACAAGCTCAAATAAGCAGAGATGCACCAGTCGACCGCCAATAAATTAGAAAAACAACTTTCCCTCTATTTTGGCTGATAAGCTTGAATTTACAAATAAGCTTGAATTTATTCTAACAATTTTAAAAGATATTTCAGAGTGCAATTACTAGTAGTAATTGTTTGTGTCCAACCTTTTTTACAGTCTTGTCTTCATGAACGTCTCGGTCACTGTCATCTGATGTAGTCTGATCTGACTTTTTGTCAGATTTCTTTGTGGAAGATGTCTTCTTCTGAGGAGATTTCTGTTGATTTGCAGACAAAACACAAGCAAATGTAAACACAGTAAGACTGCCTAATGCCTATAGATGGTCTGAACAATAAAACCATAAATGTGGAGAATTTATGTTAAGATCTTTGTCATGTGTGTCAGATTTCCAGTGTCAACTAAAACTCAGAAAGGTTCTGAAGGTGTCAAATGTAATTTTGCTATTTCTTTCAGAGGCGGTTCAAAACTCTTCGGACAGATATAGCAGTTTTCATTGTTTTCAAATTAAGCTTCAAATGAACTAATTGTTATTCACCATTTTTGCTGACATATGCCTGACTTACAGCATACCAAAACTACAAGCTCAAATAAGTATAGATGCACCAGTCGACCGCCCATAAATTGAAACTGTTTTTCTTTTCTTTTTTTGGACTTGCACACAAACTGCACTGCAATAATTGAAATCCAAAATGTAATTTGTGTGGAAATATTGCAAAGTCTGTAAACAGGGCATTATCACAGGCCAGAGATGGGACATCCTAAAGATGGAAGCAAAGAGATGAAAACACAGAGGCGCCAGCAGAGGAAATACTGTATCAGAGAACACAAGCTCACTGCTCACAATGCTCGAAATTTTGGAAGAAAATTATAAATATTTAATTTAGGGTAGGGGTTTATATGAATGTATCTTTGAAGGGAACTGACTGTCTTCAGAAAAGAAAATGCCATCGAACCTTTTCCTCTTACCCCCATTTAATGCCTATTAAAGTTGTGTTTATAAGCACAACTAAATTTGGCAATTTTAATCAGCCATGAAAAGTCATGACTAGTGCATCCCTACAAATAAGCTTGCATTTATATTAACAATTTTAAATTATATTTCAGAATGCAAAAAAATATTACTAGTAGTAAGTGTTTGTGTCCAACCTTTTTTACAGTCTTCTTGTCTTCATGAACATCTCGGTCACTGTCATCTGATGTAGTCTGATCTGACTTTTGGTCAGATTTCTTTGTGGAATTCATAGTGGAAGATTTCTTCTGAGGAGGAGATTTCTGTTGATTTGCAGACAAAACACAAGCAAATGTAAACAGTATGATTGTCTATGGATTGCCTGAACAAAATAAAATGTGGAGAATTTGTTAAAATCTTTGACCACACAACACAGTGTCAACTATAACGCCCAGAAAAGCAAAAGAAACATTTCACTCACTTCTTCCTCGTCGCTGTCTTCTATAGGAGCTTGAAAATCTTTCACTTTATCAGAAGATTTATCTTCACTGTCTTTATTTCTTTGACTTGCTGTGGCTGACTTCTCAGTGCCCTTACTGTTCTCTTTACTCTCTTCTTCTTCTTCATCATCGTCGTCGTCATCATCATCACTGCTGGAATCAGAGACAATGGGTTTGGACTTTCCACTTTCCACTTTTTTCTGTGGCTTTTTACTTTTGGATGAAGATTTTTCTCTTTTGCCATCTTTGGTCGTCTTCTTTTTCTTCTTAAGGACAGGCTGCAGAGGATATAAACACAGTCATTGGCAAATAGCAAAAGAAAAACTCATCAGACATTTAATTTCCAGCAGTACATTGGCTGTACAGTGGCATTAAATGTGTATTGTTATTGTTCAGAGAGAAAGATCTCACCTTTCCTGAGTTGGTTGGCTGTACAAGAAATCTCATGATCCTCTCAGAAAGAACAATTTGCGTTCCAGTCCTCTCCAGATCAAGAGTCTGACAGATGGTTTTGAGCAGTCCCTTTTGAAGCCTGCCAGAAAGACAAAAATCATTATCATGCCCACTTTAAACCAATCACAACTTAATTATTGGACTTCACATCAGATGGAATAAACTACTGATGGTTTTATTATGTGCTTGCACATGGGCGTCACAAAACTGAAATATGAGCAATAACATTATTGTCCTAAAATATATATATATATACAGTATTTTTATTTATCAGTATGTGCCAATATAGCATATTTACTTGCTTCCAAATTTAATTATCAGCATTGGCCAGAATTCAAATATCAATGAATCTCAACCAAAAAAATTCCTCTGTAACAGCTACATCTGTGAGAGTTATTTTTATAAAGTGGTGGGGACAACATCGGACATGGCAAAAATTATTTTCATAATTTCTGTTTTCATGCCTTGATTTACCACAGATGTGTAAATATATATATATATATATATATATATATATATAAAGCTCCAAAGCAGTTAAATAGACTTACTTTTTCACTTTCTCCACCTTTTTGTTGTAAAGGTCACTGTCCAGCCCAAAAGGAAATCCATTAAATAGCCGAAGGTTTTTCCGCAGAGCTGATGCCTGTATGAATATTAATCAGCATTATTAAGTTAATATCAATCTGTAACATGTTTCTTTGGGAATTTGTTTGTAAAGCGAGTTCTCAAACTAAACCTTACAGTTCCCGGTCGATCATATACAATGTTATGCAGAGGTTTGAGCAGAGGGACTTTAAGCTTTCCGATGGAGTGATTAATCCGTGCAATGTCTCCCAGTTTGTCACCTCTTCCTGTACTCTCAATCTTCAGCTTTTCTTTCTGTCTACACATTAAATCAAGTCTCTGGATGATTTTTTTCTCCCGTTTTCCTTCAAGAATTTCAGGTTCGACTGAAAAGACAATTACAAAAGGACAATGATGGTAACTTTTGAGTGGGCAATCTAAGCTTCATTTAATTTATGAGCTGATGACAATTAAATAAAAGCTCAATATAAAGTTATGTTGCTTAACATTAATTGACATCATGAATAACATTTCTTGAAAGAATAGGTTTGGCATCTATTGTTGGTATTATTCAACTTACACAATTTGAACCTGGGTTTAGACTTGCTTTTGGGTTTAGGTTTTTCATCCTGCCCAGCATCATCAGATGGACTCTTCTTCCTTTTCTTCTTCTTTTTCTTCTCCTCCTCCTCTTCTTCTTTTATGCTGTTTTCCTCCTCTTCTTCTTTTATTCTGTTTTCTTCCAGGAAAGGATCAGGAAGATCCTCTGTCTTGACAGCTTGGATTTCTTTACTCATGATTGGAATTTTGTCAGTTGATTCCTAGATTAGATAAAAGAACGGTGTTGTAATCGTCAAATTCAACAGAATACAATAGTAGTAGTATTACCGGTATAACGTTAATTTACATACACAAACGACAGCTCTATTCGACGACGCATATCACATCAATAACAGTGAGTGCACAGTTACTGCAGAACGAATTTGGCGCGTGTTTGTATCCCAGTTGTAAAGCAGACACAAACCTTTAGCATGCTAACAAGCTATAAAATTACGACCAAATGCAAGGTAAACTGGTGAACATATAAGATGTATACAAGCAAACGTGAGTGAAAATCAAACTTTTCCGTATACATGACTTAAGTTAAAGCTTTTAGGCGGCGCGAGATTGATAGCACAGACTAGCTTATTTGTCCCGCCTACTTGCTCACCAAAACACAATTATATTCCCTTTTGCAACAACAAATCATGACAAGACCTGCCTTCGTGTACGTAAAAACACAACTTAGAGAAAAGTATACAGTTTATAAAACCCATGCGCTTATACTTTAATATATACTCACTGTGTGTTGCTGCCTATTGGTGGTGATGTACGTGCGCAGTAAACATGGCGTTTGAAAAGAAAGGGCGGGCTATCACGTGACCACGCGGATAAATTCATATTAAAAGGACTTGTACCAAAAATAGGCCTACAATTCTGACATTTTTACACCACCATGTTTTTCCAAATTAGTATGACTTCATTTCTTCTTTGGGTATGTTAGGCGGAATGATAACTTCAGTCAATATGCACTTCTAAGTGTAGGTGACTGAAGCTGCCTGACAGTAACATGTTTAACATGTTCTCTAACATGTTTGTTACATGAGGCTAAGTAAATTATATGTGTGTGGCATTAAAAAATGTTGGGACCACTTTATAATGTAGAATATTTCATTTAGGACCAGATACAGATAAAAGTTCAGATACAATGTCTGGAAATTTGAATTTAAATAGCCTATTTTCCATAAAATATATTTAAGTAATTATGTTCTCTCACTGTAAAGAAAGGGAATTGTATTTTTACATTAGTTTTTACATTTGATTAATTTGGTGGCAGCAATACTTTTACTAACAGCAGGGGGCAACATGGTAAAAGCTATTGTATAATGTGAACCAGTAAAAATAGCATTTCGACAGTAGGCTATTCACTACATTTGGTGCATGCATCATTTGTCACATAATAATCACATTGCATGTTACATTCAGCAAGTATTTTTTTTTATTAAGTAGTCATTTAGCATTTTAAATTTTGTGTAGAAATGTTACATTATTAAGGAATGATCAAATAAGGAAGCAAGGAAAAACATGTTAAAGATCATAGCTAACAACACTGTACTATGCGCACAGCAATGGTAGTAATAGTAAGTTAGAGTAGTTAAGTAGCCTAGATAGTATTCTATTCTGACCATCTCCTACCACACATTGATGATCCATCTCACCTGCTGATTCATTACTCATTCATTCATTTATTCATTCATTGACACATGGTCAGTTATGCAATTATAATATGTAGGCCTGCAGTGAAATGAGCAATTGTCTAATCCAGTAGATTGCACATTTTATCCAATGTTCAAGTTGTTACACACACAAAAAAATAAAGGTTCGGGTGCTTTCACAGCGATTACATAAAATAACTTTTAAGATAACCTTTCAGTGAACAGTTCTTAAAAGAACCATTTTTTAATGGTGTGTGTGAAGAACGTGTTAATAATCTAAAGAGCCTTTTTCCAAAATAAAGAACCTTTTGTGCAATAAAAAGGTTCATGGATGTTTAAAGGTTCTTATGGAACCATCAATGTCAACAAAGAACCTTGATTTTAAGAGTATATTCGTTTAAAACCCAGTAAAATCAACACCTGATGTGTTTAAGAAGAGTTTTGTGATATGTTATGCTTTTACATTGCAGGTTTGCTAAACCCAGGGGCTGACAAACCTTAATAACCCACAGTTGTGTACAGTAGAAACAGTACAATGGTACAGTTGAGACACCCATTCTCAATGCTCTAAAGCTGTCTAACCATTTACAGCAAATGTAGTAAACGTTTAAAAATGTCAATTGTGATTAATTTGATTCCTTTTTTCTTTCCTTTTCCCCTTTGTACCAGGGAAATGCCCCAGTAAGAGCTTTGTTTTCTGAGAGTTATACATATTCCCTTCAGAGAACACTGATTATCAGTTTTAGGCTATAAAACCCGAGTTTGATAAATCAACTTGCAGATGCATGTCCACTCTGTTCATACTACCCAACCATGGACTTTGTTTTGAAATGTGTGGGAAAAGTTATTTGAATCAAGCGTAGGTTTAAGGTCAAAGTTGACCCACCCACGACGAACAAAGAATAGTTTGCTGTTTAGGTGCTGCGCGCACGCAGGTGTAGATCTCGTGACCGCGAAGGCTCTGATTTTTCCAGATGATTACAACGCTTCTTTTTTTACTGGTTGTATTAAGTGTCTGGAGTTTGTTGCCTAGCAGCCTGAAAGTGTCTCCTGATTGGTTGATAGCTCGCACTCTCTCCGTTAAAACGCTTGTGGAAAGGAAAGGTGCACGAGAGCGCGTCAGAACTGTTCCGAACTCTCGTGAACCTGTGAAACCTTGAGTTGCATCTGTTCTTCACTGTGAACATTTCGGATTTGAACATTACAAGGCGTTTACATGATGTTCTTCAGTTTATCGACAGAGGATCAACATCTTTTGAAGTGGGAACAGGGTAAAGAGCCAGATGGATCCAGCTCACCTCACACAGGCGCGCGTGCTTTCAGTGTAGGCTTATAGGCTGAAGGTGGGTGTCCAGAGTTACTGGTATTCCAGTATAATGTTCTTTGTTATGTATTTTTAGTCGTTAATAATACATGTTGCATTAGTTTATTTGCTACTTATTTAAATAAAGCTTTTTGAGTAACGTATCCTATTAATTTATTCCAAACTAATTTAATTTCGTCTTCAGGTATAGCCTAATTGTAGATGGCGTCTATCTGTATATCCGACACTAAATAAGAAGATAAACCTAAATAGTAAAATAATTTAAAGATTGAGAGATTGATATTAGTTTAATTTTATAAAATTTAATAAATGTGTTGTTTCATTTGTTGTTATTAGCTACTTTAGATCCACAAAAACTCTTATTTAGCCTATATTACCCACTGAAAATGTTTAAAATCGGACATTCTTGGATCCATTTCATTTTCATCTCAGAGAGGACAATGCCTTCTTTTTTTCAACATAAATGATTATGTTGTTAATGATGTAAACAGGACAAACACTTAATTCTAAGTTACACTGTAAAAAATATAAACCTATTTAATCAGTTATTTTAAAATGTAATTCATATGGTGACATCTGCATTGACTCGTTTTATTCAAATGTGACTGGAATAACCAAGTTTTTTTTAAGGATCAGATGAAACAGCAGTGCCTGCATTCACTTTTTACAGTGTAGCAAGGATTATTTATTTACAGTGGGTTGCTTTAAATTTAGTAAATAAAAATAAAACTATTTAAAAACAAAATTAAATGCATCGTTCCCTTTTGAAAAGTATTCTCAGTCTCCACATTGTGCTCCGACCTCTTTACGGTTATCCCATTGGATCATGTTAAAAACGTAGGCTTTAAAATGACCATCATGACAATATTACAGAAGAGGTTACCAAAGAGAATTAATAATTACAAGAATAGTAGGCCTACCATTAGTTCAATTAATTAGACAGGCCAGCTAAAATATTTAAATCTCAATGCAGCTTTGAAGAAGTAGGACACTGCCAAAGGCTTCTTCTCCCTCCCACCGTGTCTGATGTCTGCCAGTGATGGTGTAAAAAAGGGGGAAAAAATCATTAAGGGAATTTGCTCATTCAATACACAGAGCTTTCAAGTTGGTATTACACATATCCTACTGTATACACAGACCTTCCAAACTGTCTTCTTATATCTATTAAAGTGCACATGTAGGAATAGTAAAGCAGATGAAGCACTGTAGTGTGTTATATAAAACACACACATAGGGCTTCACACTACAATTAACCCTACTGTTTAAACCCAGAGTAAAGGGCACTTTTAACTGTGGGTTATGAAACTTTCCTTTCGAGGCATCAAAGTGAAACAACATGCTGCTTGAATGTAATGGTGAGTTGTTGTTGGTTTCCTCATTAAATATTCATGTGCTTTGTACAATTGCAGAAACTGAATTTCCAGCATCTGAAGAAAACAGTAAAAAACGTTGAATCGAGATTGCAAAAGCATTAACTGGAGTGATGCGAAGACACTGTTTACAAAGATTTAAAGCGATAGTTCACCCAAAAATGAAAATTCTGTCACCATTACTCACCCTCATGTCATTCCAAACCTGTAACTTTCTTTCCTCTGCAGACCTCAAAAGTAGTTATTTTGACAAATATCTCGCCTGTTTTTGTACAAAACAACATTGGACCCCATTGACTTACATGGAGAGTATGATGACAGAATTTTCATTTTTGGGTGCACTAATACTTTGAGATAACCAGATATAATTCTAGTTGTGTGTATAAATATCAGAACATTATCCAATGGTTCACTACAGTGTGAAATCTCAAAACTTGGCTACTCAAGGATATTTACTAAACCATGATAAAATAAGAACAGTGTAAAACATGGAACATGATAACCCAGGATTTTGTTCACCCAAGGTTAATCGTGTGATATCAAAGATGTGTCATTTTTATTCTAGCTTTAGACCAGCAGCCAAATCCCCATTATTATTGATACTGCTCTTTTCAGTCTGTCATATTAATGCACTTTAAATGTACTCTTTTGGCTCTCTCAGGGCTCAACATTACCCAGAACAACATGATCACAGATTCATCAAGTCCGGCAGAGTTCTACGAGGACAACGCTTCACTGCTGTCCTTGGACTCCAGCGTATTCTTCAGCGAGCCCGCACTGCCGAGCGACAAACAGCTGGACTTCTTCATTATAAATGTCGGAGGTAGCCGCTATATCCTCTCTCAGGAACTTTTGGCCTCCCACCCAGAAACTCGCCTGGGCAAGCTGGCCCTCTCCAATCGAGACTCTGCTTTAGACCTGTGCGACGATGCAGATTTCTTAGAGAATGAGTTCTTCTTTGACCGCAACTCGCAGACTTTCCAGTACATTATGAACTTCTACAAGACAGGTCACTTACATGTTCGAGAGGAGCTGTGCGTGATCTCATTCCTTCAGGAGATCGAGTACTG